GTAACTTGGAGAAAGATAGAAGTGGTAACGAATAAGGACTACTGCAAAGGGAATGGTAACAAAAAGGGACTACTGCAAATGAAAGTGAGGTAGCTGAACTGATTACGTGCCCTGGGTTAAAGGATGCACGGAGAATGCACGACATATGCGATTGGCTTTCGCTACCTTTCTCCAATCAGGAGCGCAGATGGCGCGCGCAGCGGCCGTTTGTGACTCTACGACTGAACTTTATCTCATAAGTTCATCTGATACGTGAATAACTCCAGCATTTCTTTGTTTATTATTTGGCAGTTTTATAAACAAAGGTCGACGTACGCTAGCTTTGGCTATTCGTCGCAGTAAAGTACTGGCCTTTATGTGGGAGACAGGGCACACCATTATGTATCACAGCCTACCTTTCCCCAAATTTCTCTTAGAATTTTGCCATCGAGCTGGGGTGGGGGGTCTACCAAGTAGGGGACATACAGCGCTTGTAAAAGAGAAGAAAAATTGACAATAAGAAAAATTTCTCCTTATGGTAAAATACGGCCACTTTCCAGTGGCCAAATACGATCCGCACAACGGTTGATGTGCTCTGATAGGAAACGGGTTGGAAACATTTTGGTAGCCTGAGTGTTCCCAAGTGAATTTGTGCTGGACTCGAGACACAGGAATTCGGCTAATAGTGGTTTATTCAGATGACACGGCTACATTGCGATCAGTTATAATATTTCATTATTTCGCAATAACAACTGTATGCCGTTGTTTCCTGCCAGAACTGTGTATTCAGGCAGGATCGCTGTTTGAGAGCCGTCACTGATCAAAACCTTTTTTATAGGAGGAGGCGCTCGTGTACAGCCCCATTGTACTGGTTCAATAACGATGTTATTAGAGATCCCACGACATATCTTCTTATTGAATCAAGTGTTCTAACTTGGAAACTTGTGAAAAAGAGAATCATAATTCCCCCATAATCGAGGCTGTCCTATGGTTTAGATTTTTAGTTTCATTTGCATTTCTTCAGAATTTTTAACTCCCTGAAGGGAAAACTCTCCTTTGCTGGAGAAGTGCTTCCCATTTGTCTAGCCTTTTATAAGGGAGTGGGGGTGAGGGAGTGGAAACTTCCCTCATAAGGATGGTGTGTCTTGATCCACTCAGAATCCTTGAGGTCCTGGAATCTTTGAGTGCTCCTGGAATGTTTGAGTATATGTGAAGTTAATCGAGAAATCACGGCTTGAAAGCAAGGAATGGAAACGATCTAACAGAGTTGTGATTGGTTGTTGCGTACAATCTCCCAATCACAGCAATTTTTGCGTCACGCCCCTCCTAAGAAAACCTCACTGTGATCGAGTTTGATCGAACAACTTGATGAGCGTGCTTTGAACTGTTGAAAAAAAAGTTGGTTCCTGTTATTATGGCAGTACCAAAGTGTTCTTAAAAAATCCATCGATAACCAGTTTCTATGAGTCTTTTTCTTAAGAGTAATCAAAACGCT